AAAAAAGGTCAAGAAGGGAGAGAGTTGACATGTCGTGGGGTTGTTAACCAATGTCATAAAACAATATGTGTACTACTGGTTAATGAGAAACTATTTGCTCTGTAAACCTTCACCTGAAGTACAATTAAAAAAATAAAATAAAAAAACAGACAAATGGATAAACAAATTACGGTATATCCACAGAATGGAATACTACGCAGCCCACGATCAAAGCTCGCCCTCAACGCCAGGAAGGACGGCGTGCAGAATGCCAGAGCCGAGGGCTGGGGGCTCACACTGAGGAGAGTTAAGGGTAAAGGTGTCCATGTGTGGGCGAGCACTAAGAGGCTCTGCTGTGGGATGTGAGGCAGCGGCCATAGGCTTAGAAGCGGCTGTCTGGAGCCCTGCAGATAACGCCTGCTTTAAACAGGATTCAAGATGAAGGCTCCAAGGCGGCCACTGGACTTTGCAAAAGTCTCTGGGCGGTGCAAACACAGACACACTGGGCTGCCAACCAGAATGTTGGGGGTTCGAGTCCACTCAGAGGTGTCTCCGAAGAAAGGCCTGGGGACCTGGTTACAAAAAACCAGCCACTGAAAACCCTGTGGAGCACAGGCTGCCAACCAAAAGGTCAGCAGTTGGAATCCACCAGCTGCTCCCTGGAAACCCTACGGGGCAGTTCTACTCTGTCCTCTAGGGTCACTATGAGTTGGAATTCACTCGAGGGCATCGGTTTGGGTTTTCTGAGATAACCTTTAAACCTTACACCAAAAATCATCTTAAAACCAGGCAGTAGTTTAGCTTAACTAGTAAAAAATGAAAAAGGAAGACCGAAAAAGAATCGATGCCTTTAAATTGTGGTGCTGGCAAAAAATATTGAATATACATACCATGGATTGCAAGAAGAATGAGGAAATGTGTCTTAGAAGAAGTACAGCAAGAACGCTTCTTAGGAGCAAGGATGGCGAGACTTCGTCTCATGTACTTTGGACATGTTATCAGGATGGACCAGTCCCTGGAGGACGACAGCATGCTTGGTAGAGGGTCAGGGAAAAAGAGGAAGACCCTCGACGAGCTGGACTGACACAGTGGCCCCAACAATGGGCTCAAGCCTAACAATGATTGTGAGGATGGCGCAGGACCAGGCAGTGTTTCGTTCTGTTGTACACAGATAGGGCCACTATGAGCTGGAACTGACTCAACGGCACCTAACAACAACAACAGTTAAAAAAAGGTCTGCCTTGAGCATTATGCTCTTTTAAGAATTATCTGTATGGGATCAAACTGACAATAGCAACTTGAAAGGTTAGACTGGAATCTTAGGGGGCAGGGAGTTTATGTTAGTGGGGAAGGAACAGCTCAGAAAAGGAGGGTGAGAAGGGTTCCACAACTTGAAGAATGTCATCAGTGTCACTGAATTGTACACGCAGGAACTGTTAAATTGGTGTGTCTTGCTGTGTATACTCTCATCAACAACAAAATAAATAAAATTTAGAAAACACAGAGTAACACAAACAGTTTGGACCCGCTACCCAGGAAATCAAGACTGAGGCCTTCGTGCAAAGACCAAAAAAGCTGAATGCGTGAATATATCGTTATCTGCATTATTTACAATGGTGGGAAATGGCAAACAAGAGAAACACCAAACAGCAGGAGAAGAGTTAAATCAGTCAAAGAGTTCAACAAAAAGACCATTCAAATGACAACGAAGCCAAATGAAACATGTCTATGCTTAATACTCAGGAAGATGAAGCAGAGAAAACATACACGTAGAACACACACGTGCACAGATATGCTGGAAAAGAAATGCCCAAAGTACAGGAGCAAGAGCTAGAATATGAAGCATTTCTTATTTTTCAAAATGTATGTAATACAGTTAGCTAAATTACTTTTTACAATAGGAGCTCTAGTGGCCCAGTGGTTAAAGTGCTCAGCTGCCAACTGAAAGGTCGGCAGTTCAAACTCACCCGGTGGTTCTGCAGGAGAAAGACCTCGCAATCTGCTTTCCTAAAGATTACCAAAAACCTGTTGCCGTTGGGTCAATCTCGACTCAGTGTGACCCTAGAGAACTGCCCCATAGGGTTTCCAAGGAGTAGCTGGTGGATTCGAACTGCCAACCTTTTGGTTAGTAGCCTGAGCTCTTAACAACTATACCACCAGAAAACCATATGAGGCAGTTCTACTCTGTCACATGGGGCTGCTAGGAGTTGGAATTGACTCGAGGGTACCTAACAACAAGAAGTTACTTTCATAATGCTAAAAACAAAAGGTGAAAAAGGTGGAAATAATCATAACCTGAGTCTGCCCTTTGGAACCTTAACCACAGGGAAAGACTAAAACAATTACTTTTAAAGACCCCTAAAATGAAACTATGCTGTTTTGTTGTGGATTTTTGTCTTTTCAACCTGGCTCACTTCATCGATTCTCTACTTCATTTTGTTACTGTCGCTTCAACCTAAATGCAAAATTGCAAACGCAGCCAACAGACTCAGCTCGTGTCCCCGCAAATACATGAACGGTGCTCGGCAGGAAGGGGACTCCAAAAGAAGGTGGGGTCTCCGGGACCGGGCAGGAAGGGAGTCACAACCACGACAGGACGAGGAAGAAAAGCCCCCCACGTTCTGTTGTGACTCATGCAGCCATCGCAGGTGCACACGCGCACACACGCCCCCAGGCACCAGGCAATCACTCTCGAAGGCGCCGACCTCACAAAATTTACCTTTCCTCTGCTCGCTGCTTCTCCTCTGCTTCCTTCTCTCTGCGTTTCTGTTCTTCTCTCTGCTGTTCCAGTTCTTGAAGCTTCTGCCTCTCCAGCTGCCGCTTTTTAATCGAGGCGTCGCTCAGGTGTTTGGTTGAGTCAAAAGAAACCTTAAAGAGCAAAAGGACGGGGCAGAAGAGAATTATCTAAAAGCACTCTGGACGTTAAGGTAGGATCCTGAAGAAACCTGGCTATTTCAGACGCCGAGATACTTGTGCTCAACTTCACGTTAAACCCTCGCTTGCCGACGGCCCAGAAAGTGGGGGCCAGGAGTTAAACTGACTGGTCTCAAGTCACACAACAGTGGAGTTATCATTCAACCAGAGAATAAAACTCAACAGCAGCTGATTACACTGCATTTAATACAGGTAGATCCTGACTTACGATGTATTCGAGTTACAACAAACCATACTTATAACTATTCTTTTTTTTTTTTCTGGTACATCTTATCATTAGTAATATGCACTATATAAAATGTTGTTTAATGCATAATCTGCTGATGTCACCATATCTGTAAGTTTGTATGTAATGCTTCCAACTCCCAAAGAGAAATAAAAATCAAATTTATAGATACTGATAACAAAAGGCAATAATAATGAAAAGTAAAAAAAAAAAAAAAAAAAAAATTAGGTATTCGACTTACGTCAGAGTCGCTGGGAAGGAATGCTGTTTAAGTTGGGGACTACCTGTATACATATACCAAATACAGAACACAAGGACCCCTGGTGGCCCAGTTGTTAAGCACTTGGCTGCTCACCAAAAGATCAAGGTTTGAACCTACCAGCGGCTCCGTGGGAGAAAAGACCTGTGATCTGCTCTCATAAAGATTAGTCTTGGAAATCCTATGGGGCAGTTCTGCTCTGTCACATTGGGTCGCTATGAGCTGGAATCAACTCCACCACAATAACAAAGTGTAACTCGACTTCACCACTTATTATAAAGAAAACAGCTAGTACTGTTGGGCAGGTTTCCCTTTCTGCGTTCTGAGCCCCTCTGACCACCACCATCGAACACACTACCGCAGGGACCTGGGTCTTAACTAAAAGGACATGCAAACTGTCCCTGCACCACACAGCATAACAGGTAGGGGCCTCTAGAATGTCTGTTTACACGTCACTGCAAAGCAAATACACTCAGGGTCAACAATGACTTAAGAAACACTAAGTCTTGTTTTAAAGGAGCATTTCGGGTGACTTAGGCTCTCTCTTGGCTTTGCTCTGGTTCAGATACCTTACAGGGGGTCCCTGATGGTCAATATCTGGCCCTCCTTAAAAACGTTTGGCTCTTCCACATTTTCTTGAAGGCACAAAATTTACGAAAGCCAAAGTGTGGAAACTGCATTTATGGGGCATACTCCTGGAGGTCTGAGGGGGTAAGGCTTTACAGCGGACAGGGGAACGCCATGGCGCGCAGCACAAACGCCCGGTTCCTCACCTTGATGTTGCAGGCCACGGCCTTGCCATCCTCGCCCTTGAACATGAGCTTCATGCCACGCAGGGCACTCATGGCCTTGATGAAGCCCGCATACTCGCGGTACTGGACGTAGGCTTCAAAGTTCAAGTGCCCCCCGAAGCTGAACGTGTGGAAGTTGCGGCCGGTCATCTCCTCCCGGTACGGGTCCAGCATGGGGATGTCCACGTTGCGGACCTCCCCGAACTTCTCAAACACCCTGACGAGCACCTCCTCGCTGGGCTTCTCCGAACCCGACTCTTTCAGGGCAAACCACTTGCACGGCAGCCCCTCCAGGTGGATGGTGTCCGGCCTCTCACCCGGCAGGGTCTCGTTCATGTCCTTCGCATCGCGGAAGAAGGAGTCCCAGTCATGGCGCGTGGGGAAGTCAATCTTGAACTCAGCGGCACGCACCTTCAGGATGTCAGAGAAGCCACTGAGCTTGATGGTCTTGCCATCCAGGCAGGCGAGGAAGGACTTCACCAGGCTCTTGTTCTCCACCTCGCCCTCGAAGCGGATGAAATCCATGGTGCTCTTGGCGATGCGCAGCGTGGAGAACTGGTGACTGTGCACCATGCCCTTGAGCCGCTCCATCACCTCCCAGTTGGAGATGGACTTTCCCGGCTGCTTCAGCTGTGGCAGGGCCACGCTGATGGTCATCTTTGTGATGGGCTTGAGGTACAGGCCGTGCGGGGGGCACAGCTCCACCGCCTCAGATGTGTCGTGCACAATGGTAGCCGCTGCCATCGCCGGAGCACGGGGCCTGAAACGCAGAGTGCGGGGAGTCAGGGTGCGGTGCCCGGGCTGAGAGTCCCCAAGCCGGCCAGCACCTCAAAGCTGGGAGACAAGATAGGTCACAGAAACTGGCCTCTAACTCATAAGAGGCAGCACCAACTGAGTTTTTCAAAATCATTAAACTTAGGAATCCTGGTGGTGCAGTGCTTAAGTGTTCAGCTGCTAACTGGGAGGTTGGCAGTTTGAACCCACCCAGAGGTGCTGCAAAAGAAGACCTGGCGATCTGCTCTCACAAAGATTATAGCCCAGAAAACCCTATTGGGCAGTTCTACCATGTCACATGGGGTCGTTAGGAGTTGGAATTGACTCAACAGCACCCAACAACAGGAGGCAGTGGTGGTTCAGTGGTAGAATTCTCACCTTCCAAGCAAGAAACGAGAGCCCTGGTAGCACAACAGGTAAGCACTCGGCTGCTAATCGAAACCCTGGCAGTTTGAACCCACCAGTGGCTCTGCAGAATAAAGACCTGACGATCTGCTCCGGTAAAGATGACAGCCTAGGAAACCCTATGGGGCAGTTCTACTCTGTCACATGGGGTCACTATTTTTGAGTCAGAATCCACTTGAAGGCACACATCAACAACAACAATATGGACTGAATAAGACCTGGTGATCTGCTCCTGTAAAGATTACTGCCTAGGAAACCCTGTGCAGCAGTTCTACTCTGTCACATGGGTCACTATGAGTCAGAATCCACTTGAAGGCACACATCAACAACAACAATATGGACTGAATAAGACCTGGTGATCTGCTCCTGTAAAGATTACTGCCTAGGAAACCCTGTGGGGCAGTTCTACTCTGTCACTTGGGGTCACTATGAGTCAGAATCAACTCAAAGGCACACATCAACAACAATATGGATTGAATAAGACCCGGTGATCTGCTCCTGTAAAGATTACTGCCTAGGAAACCCTATGGGGAGGTTCTACTGTCACTTGAGGTCACTTTGAGAATCCACTCGAAGGCACACATCAACAACAATATGGATTGAATAAGACCTGGTGATCTGCTCCTGTAAAGGTTACTGCCTAGGAAACCCTGTGGAGCAGTTCTACTCTGTCACACAAGGTCACTATGAGTCAGAATCCACTTGAAGGCACACATCAACAATATGGATTGAATAAGACCTGGTGATCCGCTCCTGTAAAGATTACTGCCTAGGAAACCGTATGGGGCAGTTCTACTCTGTCACACGAGGTCACTATGAGTCAGAATCCACTCGAAGGCACACATCAACAACAATATGGATTGAATAAGACCTGGTGATCTGCTCCTGTAAAGGTTACTGTCTAGGAAACCCTGTGGGGCAGTTCTACTCTGTCACACGAGGTCACTATGAGTCAGAATCCACTCGAAGGCACACATCAACAATAATATGGATTGAATAAGACCTGGTGACCTGCTCCTGTAAAGATTACTGCCTAGGAAACCCTGTGGGGCAGTTCTACTCTGTCACATGGGGTCGCTGTAAGTCAGAATCGACTCGACAGTACCCCACAACAACAGATTAAACTAAAGAGGAAAGAAACTGGGTTGACAAAAAGTTCTTAAAAGTTTAGCAACAAAAGCCACCCACCACCAAATCCTAGCAAGGGTTGCCCCAGGGCCTGTGGGAACAGGAAGCTGGATTAAAACCCCAAACCTCCCTCAGCATAGCAGAGAAGAACAAGCTAGAATCTGCCTGGCTCCACAGGAGGGTGCTGGGGGTGGGAGGAGAAGAAGAGCTCAGCTCTAGGCATCTGAAAGGTTCTGGGGAGGAGACAGAGGCCTTGTATTTACATTGACGAAACAGGAAGGAAGCCAGAGGTTGAAAAAACAATTGAGCAGCAACCTTTGACTAGATGCAACTTCGCTTTGCCCAGCTTAAGAGTCCAAAGCACAAAGGCCTCTCCAAAACTTCAGGCTGAGAACCCAGCCTGCCGCTGCCTGCCTCCTGCATTCTCCCCCTCCACCCTCCACAACAGAACTCCTTCCTACTGGTCTGACAAGTTGCTACTTCCGGGAAGCCAAGCTCTGGTGGATGAGCTTGATCCCAAGCAGGAGCCCAAACAGGGTAGCGGTCAGCACTGTCCAGGCCCGGAGGACACCCCCCGCTGCTTCCGGAGCCGTCGAGGCAGGGTCTGAGCTGGATGAAAAGGCACCTCGGGGGTGCCCAGAAGTGGGGCCCCAGCCTGTACACCTGGTGGCCCCCGCAAGCCTTAAGACCACTCCCCAAAACTGAAGCCCGAATCTGAGCAGTAACATGGCTTCTCCGGTAACTCCAAGCCGTCTGTGGTGACCCCAGCCAACCCTGGACCTGCAACTTGGACCCGTCGCCCCAGAGACTCCCCTGGTATCTCCCCAGTTGCCCCCCAGCACCCTGGTAGCCTTAAGTATCCACAGCTGCCCCGCGTCGCCCCTGTAACCCCAGCCGCCCTGGCACCCCCGCCCTTCTCTTACCGGTCATCTCATTCCAACCCACCCCCTTGCCCCGGTACCCCCCACTATCCCCAGCACCCCTGTCACCTCAGTACCGGGCAGCCCCTAGTACCCTGGCGGCCTCCAGTAGCCATGGCCATCCCGCGCTGCCCCGGTAAGCCCCCTCGCCTACCAACCCCCTCCCTTCACCCGCTCATCCCAGGCAACGCAGGTCTTCGCTAGGGCATCTGGGCCTTCCCTCACCGGTCATTTTCCCCCTCCACCGCACTTCCGTCTTCCCGTTCAGGTCACACACCCCCATCGCCCCCGCACTCCCGGCCACCCCCAGTACCCCGCCCCCATCACCCCAGGGCCCCAGCAGCCTCAAGTATCCACGGCTGCCCCGCGTCGGCCCCGTACCCTCGGCTTCTACCCCAGGGCACCCCTGGTCTCGCCCCAGCAGCCCGACTTCCCCTTAGTGGTCACCCCCGTCGCCCCGACCCCCGTCGCCTTGGTAACCCCGCCGCCCAGCACCTCCGGCCTCTCTCCGCCGCTCCCCGGTACCCCTCCCACGGCCTGGCCTGCGGAAGGCGCGGCTGTCGCCGGGTAGGCCGGGCCGGGCGGCGCTCACCGGCGCGGGGCTCCGCCTCGTCCCAGGCCGCCGCCGCCGGCGGAGCTCCTTGCGTCCCCGACGCCCCGGCAGCGCAGCCTCCCCAACCGGCGCCACTACCGACCGCCGGAGGCGCTCTGACGCCACCCGACGCCTCCACCAGACGCCCCTGTGACGCACTTCCGCTTCCGGCGCTCTGGCCCGCTGAAGCTGCCGCGCGGCAGCCCCAGGTTCCTCTGAACTGTCCCCGCCCCTTGAGTGGGTTGGGACTTCCGGGGCCAGGGTGGGCGGGACTTCCTAGACTCGGGTGGCGGGGCGGTGGACCCTCCACTGGGCATGCGCGATCCCGCCCCGCCCCCACGCCGCTACCTTGATTTTTTTAGTTCTGCGCAATGTGCACCTGTGCCGGGGACGCAGGTGTTTGTCTAGCTCCACCCAAAGACAACGTTTGGGGCCGGTGTGACTACTCTTGGGTCCAAATTATGAAAGTGATCAGCATTTATTATAATTACAATTATAAAAGTCGTCAACGTTTACTATAGTTATAAATAATATTAAAGAGGTCAGCATTTATTATAATAATAAATATAAGTCAGTATTTAGTACAATAATAAATATAAAAAGTAGTAGATGTTACAATAATAAATATAAAAGTGATCAGCATTTACTATAATTATTAAAGTGATCAGTATATATAATAATTATAAATGTAAAAGTGATCCGTATTTATTATAATTATAAAAACCAAACGCCATTTATTATCATTATAAATACAAAAGTGGTCAGCCTTTATTCAGCTCTCACAACAGACAAGCAAGATCCTAACCCAGTCGTGTTCTCCAGATGCACCAAATGCGCTACCACTCTTCAAACTGAATATCCACTGTTCAATCAGGTCTTCAAACCGGTTCTTCCCAGTTCAGTCATGACTAAGGAAGCAACATCGGAACAGACTCGAATTTTTAAAACTTGGAGGAACCAGAACAATGACAGGAACGGGAAAAATTATGGATCAAAGCCCTGCTAGAAGCTTAATCTCCTTCTTAGAAAATAAGGGCAGCCTATGCGTTGCATAGCAACCAAATCTCTTGCCCTTCAGAATTTGCGCGGAGTCGGAATCAGTGGCGCCCTGCACAAAGATGGCGGCTGGCCGCGCCGCTTTGAAGGTGTGTAGCTCTCTTTAGTCCTGCCAATAATCGAATGTCACGCATCAGGCTCCTGAAGGGGCTCACTACGCCTCTTCTGAGTCTCCCATTCCAGGGCTTCGACCAGTAATTTTTCCCATTCCAGTTATTGTTCCAGATCACCCAAATTTTAAAATTTCAGGTCTCTTCTGGTTTCACTTCGTCGACCATGACTGAACCAGTTCAAACCAGTTCAGAGCTCTGTGTTTAACACAGGGTGCCCAAGGGTGAGCTTCAAAAGAGGGCGAGGTGAACGTTGGGACCCTGATGGCCAGTGAAGATTTTAAAATAAAGGGACTAATTCGAATTTTCTGGGTGTTTACTATGTGTGAGCCATGCCATCCATTTAATAACGTTATCGTTAAAGACAAAAACCCACAGCCTCAGGCCGATTCTAATTCATGGCGACCCCATGTGACACAGATAGCTGTGCTCCAAAGGGTTTTCTTGGCTATAATCTTAAGCCTTTCTTCTGTGCTGCTGCTGGGCGGGTTCAAACCACCAACTTTTCCATTACCAGCTGAATGCAAACTGTTTGAGCCACTGTCTTAGTTATCTAATGCTGCTATAACAGAAATATCACAAGTGGACGGTTTTAACAACAGGAATTTATTCTCTCACAGTTTAGTAGGCTAAAAGTCCAAATTCAGGGCATGAGCTCCAGAGGAAGGCTTTCCCTGTCTGTTAGCTCTGGGGGAAGGTCCTTATCATGAATCTTCTCCTGGTCTAGGAGCTTCTCAGTGCAGGGACCCTGGGTCCAAAGGATGTGTTCTGCTCCTGGCTCTTCTTGCTCGATGGTAATGAGGTCCCTCTCCTGTCTGCTTCTTTCTCTCTTTTATATCTCAAAATAGAGTGATTCAACATACAACCTAATCTGGTAGATTGAGTCCTTCCTCATTAACATAACTGCCTCTATCCTCCCTCATTAACACAATAGAGATTAGGATTTACAACCCATAGGTAACTCTCTCAGATGATAAAATGGTGGACAACCACACAATACTGGGCATCATGGCCTAGCCAAGTTGACACACATTTTTGGGGGACACAATTCAGTCCATCATAGCCACCCAGGGACCTAGTCCTTAAAGATAAGCATTATTATTTCCACCTTCCAAGTGAGCAGGTGGAGACACCAAGTCCCCCCAGGAAGGGGGAACTCTCTTTATACCCAGGCAGCCTCCTCAGTGGGGTCCACGTCTTTTCCATCTTCATTTACCTTCTCAGGGAACAAAGAGGTGTTTTGTGTTCTGTTTAAAAGCATTCTCCCAGAGGCTGCTTTGCATGTTGATGGCATGATCATTTGGGGTACTGTTAAAATGGGAGACTGCTTTCCTACTCTGCTGTCTGAAATATTTGCAAAGCAAATTAAGAAATGAGTTACTCGTTCTTCTTTGGAAGAAGCAAAGGTCGGCCTAGGAAATTATCATATTAATTCAGAAAATGTTCAAGGAAAATGCTTTTAAATTTCTGAACAAAATATCTCTTCTCTGGATGTACCCTAGAAAGAGAAAAAAAAAAAATTCTCTGATATCTACAGCCCTAATCCTTTTTTGTAGTGAAGTGGAATTCCAAAATAGCCCCCCAGAGTACTTCCCTGTCATGTATAAAACCCGTTGCCGTCGAGTTGATTCTGACTCATAGCGACCCTATAGAAGAGAGTAGAACTGCCCCATAGGGTTTCCAAGGAGCAGCTGGTGGATTCGCACTGCCAACCTTTTGCTTAGCAGCTGAGCCCTTAACCACCGCACCACCAGAGCTCCTGTCATGTACAAGGCCTGTGTAATTCCCTTCCCTGTATGTAGGCGGACGTGTGAATATGATGGGAAATCACTTCTATGATTATATGGCAAAGGTGAAGGGATTCTGCAGATGTAATTAAGGTTCTTAATCAGCTGACTTATACTGAACGAAAAAGGAGATTATTCTGGGTGGTCCTGACCTAATTACAGGAGCCCTTTTAAAAAGGGTCTACAGATCAGAGGCAGAAGAAGCTGGAGCAGTCTGAAGCAGCAGAGACGTCCTCTTTTTGGCATGGACGAAGGAAACAGCCTTGCTGTGGAGAGGATGCCGTGGTAGGGAACAGAGGGCAGCCTCTAAGAGCTGAGGCCTTAGTCCTCCACAAGAACTGAATTATTTCAACAACCACTGAGCTTGGAAGCGGACACTGAACCCAACCATCCACCTACACACTCACCCACTCACCCACCCACCCATCCATCCATCCACCCACCCGTCCACATAACCACCCATCCATCCACACAACCACCCATCCATCCACCCACACACTCACCCACTCACCCACCCACCCATCCATCCATCCACCCATCCACCTACTCACCCACCCACCCATCCATCCATCCACCCATCCACCTCCCCATCCACCCACCCACCCACTCACTCACCCACCCACTCAACCACCAACCCATCCATCCATTCATCCACCCACCCATCAATCCATCCATGTATCCACCCATCCATCCATCCATCCATCCATCTAGCCATCCTTCTCTCCGCCATCTACTTGATCCAGCCAGCCTCTCAAGTCCTTATTCAATACCAGTCCTTTCCACCAGGTGGCGCACCCACCTCCCTAATGGCAGCTGGAGGAAGCTGCTGTTTCAATCCTCTAGTCTTGCAGCCAAGTTCTCCAGGGTCAGTCATTCCACCCTCAGTACTCAGGCAAGCCATCAACCCTGTGTTTCCCATGAACATTACCCTTTTTACGAAATCCACCCTAGGGAATGCATTCTCTCATTAGCACTGCCTTGATTTATGCCGAAACTCTTAAGCAGCCTGTGTCTTTCTGGCCCTAAAGAGGAAGGGTGGCCACGTTGCCTTGGAGATATCCATGAGTTGCAGGTGGCCCAGGGAATGTGTTTTCTCCTCTGCCAGCGGTGAGGGTGCAAACGGGCTCAGTTTTCGGAAAGGAAATTCAGCAAGACCTACTGCCATTTTTAATGCCCACACACATTCCCTGGAACTCAGCCATTACACTGCTGGTAATTCATCCTACAGAGTGACTCCTCACAGGTGTATAAAGTATAGACAAACATATAATACATATATCGCACCAGGGGCTCGCCGGTGTACACGGCACACCCAGAACAAGGAGCAAGACAGGCAGCGGGTGACGGAAGCAATGCACACAACTGCCTTCGCTTACGGTGAGGGCCGCGAAGACAAACGGCCATGGGCGTGGAGAGGTGGAGGAGCCCTGGGTGGTGCAAATGGTTAACACTCCAAGGCTTATTGGAAGAAAGGCCTGGTGATCTTACTTGCGAAAAATCATCCATTGAGAAGCCTATGGAGCACAGTTCTACTCTGACACACACGGGAGCCCGGTGGGTTGGAGTCCCTTTGACGGCAACTGGTTTGGTTTTTTGGAGAGAGGAGGGCTAGGGGAAGGGCAGGGTCTCCAGGAGGACGGGAGGGAGGGATTGTTGGCGGGCAGTCTGACCTCTCGGGGCACAGCGCTGTCCCCTATGCCTAGCCGGGGAGGGGGAGCCAGGAGGGACTGTGTGGCTCTTTGTCAATCCCACAGGGAAGACCACAGACCCTCTCACCAGGATCCCTAGGACAGAGGAGTCCTGGAGGGTCGAGCAGGTCTGTGAAGTGTGCCACCATCGCTCAGAATCCAGGTGGAGGCTACGGCTGCAGCTCGCTGAGTTCAGGGTGATTTCATCTCCCACTTCCTCTTCCCTCCGCGCCGGTCACACCACGGTGGGAAGAATGACACTGTTGGCTGCAGCTCCTGTCTGTTTACTTCCTGGGCGTCCTCCTCCCCAGGGTCAGGACGGCCTGGGCGCGATCCGCACAGTTTGTCCGGCTTTCCGAAAACAGAGAAAGGGTTTTTCGTTTTTGCATTTTCTGCTGCTTTTCCATCATGTCTCAACAATATC